AGTGGAAATGGCAATGACTAGATGACTTTAACATCTGGGTTTTAACTACTTAGATATTTAGACTTTAACACAAATTACCGAGGCAGCTCTGCTCCTTTGTGGGTTGAGACTTTAGATATGAAAGCTTTCATGCTCTCTGAGACTTGAGTCAAGTCATAGTTCTGTTCCTCCTTCTTGGAAATGGGCTCTGCTTCTTTTTTGCCAGCAGCTTCCTGCAGTAGCTGGTCCAGCTGATCTGGTGAGAGATCTAACCACTGGTCATCTGAAAAAGAAGAAAACATGATACTGCCATACTGTACTCACATGGCAGGTACTCTCAGAGAAGGGCCCTATGAGACCTACTGGAATATTTTAATTTTTCCTCACCCTTCTGCTCTCTCTTGGCCCATGACTTACCATCTTCTGGGGGAAGATTAGCTTCTTCCTTCTTAAGCTCTTCTATATCAAATGGTGTGGTCTGTAATAAGGTTAAGATTTCTTCACCTGGGCTCAGAGCAAGAGAGCTATAAAAAATAAAAGACATGGGGATTTTTTTATAAGACAGCTCAGAATAATAATCACAAAAAATATTTTAAAGCTGGAGGCAATTATCTAGTCTAATTTGTTTTTAAGCAATTGTTTTAAGTTATAGACCCCTTTTTCTCAAATAAAATCTTACCAGTAACTCTAAAATATAAAAGAGCTCAAAGAAAAAAATGCTTTGTACAGCAAAGGAAACCATCTACAAACTGAAAAGGCAACCTACTGAATGGGAGAAAATATTTACAAAAACATATATCTGATAAAGGGTTAACATCCAAAATATATAAAGGACTCATGCAACTTGATAGGAAAAAACAAATGTGATTTAAAAAATGGGCCGAGGGGGGCGCCTGGGTGGCGCAGTCGGTTAAACGTCCGACTTCAGCCAGGTCACGATCTCGCGGTCCGTGAGTTCGAGCCCCGCGTCGGGCTCTGGGCTGATGGCTCAGAGCCTGGAGCCTGTTTCCGATTCTGTGTCTCCCTCTCTCTCTGCCCCTCCCCCGTTCATGCTCTGTCTCTCTCTGTCCCAAAAATAAATAAACGTTGAAAAAAAAAATTAAAAATGGGCCGAGGACCTGAATAAACATTTTTCTAAAGAAGGTGTACAAATGGCCAACAGGTACATGAAAAGGCACTCAACATCACTAATCATCAAGAAATGCAAATCAAAATGAAAATGAGATATCACTTCACACCAGTCAGAATGGCAACCACCAAAAAGACAAGAGAGAATAAGCATTGGTAAGGATGTGGAGAGAAGGGAACCCTTGTGCACCGTTGGTGAGAATGTAAATTGGTGTAACCACTATGGAAAAAAGTATGGAGGCTCCTCAAAAAATTAAAAATAGAACTACCATATGATCCAACAATTCTACTTCTGGGTATATATGTAAAGAATATTGAAGAGATACCTGTATTCCCATATTCACTGCAGTATTACTCACAATAGCTAAGATATAGAAACAACCTAAGTGTCCCAACAATGGATGAATAAAGAAGATGTGCTATATTAATGCAATGGAATATTATTCAGAGAAATATATACGAGAAAGAAGGAAATCCTATTATTTGTAAAATGGATTGACCTTGAGGGTATTATGCTAATTGAATAAACCAGACAGAGAAAGACAAATACTGCATGGTATCACATATATGTGGAATCTAAAAAAAAGTAAAGCTCATAGGAACAGAATAGATCAGTAGTTGCCAGGGAGTAGGAGGTGAGAGAAATAAGGAGAGGTTGGTAAAAGGGTAGATAGTTTCTGAATACAGTCTGAGGATCTAATGTAAAACATGGTACCCATAGTTGATAACACTGTATTATATAATTGAAATCTGTTAAGAGAGTAGAACTTAAATGTTCTCACTGCTCCCCCAAAAAGATAAATATATGAGGTGATGGAATTGTCAATTAACTAGTTAGTGATAATCCCTTCACATGCACATATCTCAAATCACCATGAAAAAACAAATCACCATGATATACACTTTAAATATCTTTAGATTTTGTTTCTCAATTATATCTCCATAAAGATAAAAAAAAAAAAAACTGCTTTGATTAAAATGGAGTCTGGAGGCTCAGAGATATTTCTACTTCACCTTTGCCTTTCACTCTGCAGCAGGCTGCATGGAACACCATCTTGAAGCTGCTGACTTAGTGCAACTCTTTTAATTTATATATAGCATATATATATGAGGAAAATACGAACTAAAATGAATCTTGCATGTATAATATGCTAGGCTAGCACTT